TGAATAGCACTGAGCGCCGCTGCGTGGGCCTGCTAAGGACAGTTGCCCTCTCTCTCTCTCCAGATGCCGCCTCCTGTTCGCGCCGCTGTTGTTTCTGCGGTTCCGGTCATGCCGCGTCCCCCGATGACGTCCGTGGTCCGCTTGCCTCCCGGGTCTGTCATAGCCACCCCCATGCCACCGATAATCCACACCCCGCGCATCAACGTTGTCCCCATGCCGCCCTCGGCGCCTCCCATCATGAGCCCCCGCCCGCCTCCCATGATAGTACCCACAGGTCAGTGTCGCCAGCTCTGCCTGGCCGCTTGTCGGCTCATCGCTGTGCAGCGTGGGCTTCGATTCTTTTTTCCTTTTGTGGCTCTGGTGTGTAACTGGGATTGCAGACCCAAAGTCCCAGCGTTGAGAATTTGGGGGTGTTTGGGATGACTTAGCTGGCAGTACTGCTTTGGGGCTCAAGGCTCCTCCTGCAGCGTGAAACACAGAGACTTCTGTCTCGCCCATTTTACGTCTCTGTCCCCTGGAGCCTGCCCAGGTGGAGACTGAAGCATCCGCACTGCTTGCTGAAAGGAGCCAGAATAAAGAGGAGCTGCCAGCACCTCACTGGGGCTTACGGCTCCTTAGAGAAGCTGCTGCTGCAGGAGGAAAAGCTGTTGTCTGGTCCCTTTCCTCCTAGCAGCTGCAGAGCATTAGGTGCTTTTAAGTTGAAAAGCACGATGTGAAAAACAATTCTTCATTTTTTCCTTTTTTTTTCCCTTTCTACAAATCGAGGTGCTGGCACCACGGTGTGCCAAGCTGAGAGCACTTTTTTTTTTTTCATTGCAAGATCTACAGGAAGCTCTTATGCCTCTTCTTGTCCTTTGCTGGACTGTTTCCCAATGGAACAGATCTCTCCTGTTGGTTGTGTTAACTTCCCCCATGTATTGTGGCACTTTCGGCCTTCACTGGTCTGCTAGAGGAGTTTTTGTGTAAGGGGGTGTCTGCTGTGTGCTCAGTGGGTGACTGCAGGTTGTGCTGTGTCCCCCCTGTCCCCTTCCAGCGTTTGTTCCTGCGCCTCCCGTGGCTCCGGTTCCTTCCCCAGCACCGATGCCTCCTGTCCACCCGCCGCCGCCGATGGAGGATGAGCCAGTCTCAAAGAAGCTGAAGAGCGAAGATAGCCTGATTCCCGAGGAGGAGTTTCTGCGCCGGAACAAGGTGCGTGTGTGGGCTGGCGGCTTTTGGGGACGGGGCGGGGCCGCCGCTGGGCTGTTGGGCCGCCTCTGCCCGAAGAGGATGTGATGAAGCCAGCTCGCGGGCAGAGGGGAGCTGGGCGCAGAAGTGCTTTGCGAGGGAGTCTGAGACGGCTCCTTCCTCCTGCCGCTCCTGAGCAAGGCACGCTGCTTTGGGCTTTACTGGAGAGAGCAACGCAGCGCTGCACACAGGAGTTGTACTGAGAGATGGTGTTCAAGGGCAGTGAGGGGCAGGTTCGTCGTAGTGTAGAGAAGAACTAAAGCTGCTAAAAGGCTTTGAAGCAGAGGACTGCTAAGCTGGAGGCGCAAGGAGCTTTAATATATCGGTGTCAGCATGGTAGTGTGGTAACGTGGTATGTTCCGTGACAGCGTGAACCGAACGCGAGCCTGAATTCCTTCCTGGGGAGTGCCGCCCTTGTGGGTTGTGTGTTCGGTCCTTTAAGCAGGCTGTGCTGCTTTCCTGGACATTGCACAGAGACGCCGTCTCCCGCTTAACACGTCATACGCTCGCTCTGTAGTGCTGCGGATGCGTGTGATGCTCAGTGAATGGAAGGGCTGGTGGGAGAAGTCTAAATGTTTTGTTTTGGTAGCAGTGCAGTGACTTTCCCAGTGTTGGAGGGAAACGTTTGTATGTGTACACTGAGAAGTCGAGATACGCGGCTAGTTTTGGAAGTGAATCATTTCTCTGCCACTCTGTGTCTATAAATGATTTGTCTGCTGCTCTTTTATCGTAGTCCGGAGCCTCCTTGCCTGTAAGAGATGTTATCTTTGTTTCCTCCAGGGTCCGGTCACGGTCAAAGTCCAGGTTCCCAACATGCAGGACAAGACGGAATGGAAACTGAACGGCCAAGTGTTGGTGTTCACCCTGCCGCTCTCCGACCAGGCACGTAGCTCATTAACCTGCCCTCTACCCCTGCTTCCTTCGCTACTGAGTTTCTTGGCTTTGCGAACAGCAGGTGACCTGCGTGGCAGGAGCTGTAAGACTCTGGGCGTTCCCCGCGCTGCGGGCGCGTGCCCTGCAGGGTCGCGTGGCCGGGGAGCGGCGCTGCCCGTCGGTGCGGTGGGGGGAGGAAGGCCTGAGCGAGCTCTCTGCTTCTTCCCAGGTGTCTGTTATAAAGGTGAAGATCCACGAGGCCACAGGGATGCCAGCCGGGAAGCAGAAGCTGCAGTACGAGGTGGGTGTGAGCCCTGCAGACACTCTGTGCTTCCTCACACAACAACCCGCTTTTTACAAGGAGAAGCTGCAGTGCACCCACGGAGATACTGGGAAGAGCAGAGGGAATGCTTTTCCTGGCTGTGCAGCACACTTGGTTACGGAGCTGCGCACTCTTACAGCGGGACAGGCCTTGCTTGGTCGGCGTCAGTGGCTCCTCACGTCCGCTGAGCCTGCTGGCTTTCTCTGGACCCAGCCTGTCAAGTTACTGGGGAGTTTTGACATTTAAATGCAGCAGTCTGCTCCCACTGATTTGTCCTGTGTGCTCTGGAAGGTGGGCGAGGGTACCTGGAAAGCCTGGCGGCTCTGAAAAGACTGTCTCCAAGACACGGAAGGGAAGAGCTCGCTCTCTCCCTCTCAGGACTGGAGCTTAGAAAGGCGTCGTTCCTTGCAGTAACTTGTTTCATCACGCGTGTGCACAGGCACAACCTGCTGCCTAAGCAGTGAACTTTGTGCACTTACCTCCTCAGCAGTTCGTCTCTGGGCAGATACTGCGTTAACCCTTAGCTGGAAAGGAAGCCTCGCTGTGTTGGTTTTTTTTACGGGGGTAAAAAAGAAGTGGCGGGGAGTGGAGCCTGAGTAGCATCACTTGTGGTGACTGTCTGTGTGTCTGCAGAGGTGTTTAGTGTATGTTGTCTGTCTGTGCACCTGCACCATTCCCAGCGTACCCACGTCCTCTGGGGCTGTCTGCTGCGACGCTAGGATCTCTCCGGGGCTTTGCAGAGCCTGCGGCGTTCTGTCCTCACCCCGTTCGGAGAGCTGGGCCACGAGGGCTTCGCCTGCCGGGGGTTTCGTGGGACGGGAGCGTTATGGTTTCCGCTGTGACTGTTTTTATTCTTTCTTTTCCCCTCCTCTCAGGGCATCTTCATCAAGGATTCGAACTCCCTGGCTTACTACAACATGACAAGTGGCTCTCTGATCCACCTGGCACTCAAAGAGAGAGGAGGCAGGAAGAAATAGGAGCCGTGGAGCCCAGAGGCGTAACGTGGCCGCTCACCACTTGTGTAACCCCAACCCTTGGAATCCCCCACTGCCGCGGCGGCCTGCCAGCTCCATTTGAGAGGAGGGACCGGGAACCCCGCGCGAGGGTGGCTTGTGAGAGATGGGACGCTGGCAGAGCCCTGAAGGTTGTATAAATGTAGTGACCTAGTGCGTAGCTGCAGCAGTCTGTTAGTGATGCTTTGCTCCAACGCTGCCTCTCTGTTGAAGCCCCCCGTGAAGCCGCAGGGAGGTCATGCCCAGCTTAGTCTAGATCTGTTATCTGAGGGCTTTACACTGACCAAGAACACCATCTGACCGCGGTGCTTGCTGCTTCATTTAACCTTTTTCTAATTGAGAATTTCTTCCTTCTCAACATACTTGCGTAGCCCGTTGTTCTTTCTCTGTCTCCAATCTATCTGCAAGAGCCTCTCGTGCCGACCCTGACTTGATTTCCCCTCCCTCAGCAGGAGAGCACGCGGCCGTTCCCTGTGATAAGGGAGCTGTTGGTCTGCGCGCGCCGAGCGGCGGCGTGCAGCATCTGGGCAGCCTGTGGTTTGTTTCAATAAACACGTGTCTCAGCGCAGTCTGTCTTGCGCCTCTCGTTCTGTGGGGCTTGGGTTTTTTGGGTGGGGACGTGCCTGGCTTCAGGGCATGCGGATGGGTTGTGGGGAAACAGGTTGGGGTTCTGTAAGCAAGCAGTTTGTCATAGGAAATGCTTTTATTTGCTAGGAGAGGCTGCAAGAAAAGGGGTTTGTTGAAATTTCTCTAGTGCTACACAGTTACTCCTGAGCGTAAAGCTTGTATGTATAGATGTGTGTGTCTGTCTGAGGGCGGGAGGACTACTTTGAACTTGGAGTTCTACTGTGGAAAAGGTGTTTTACACTATACCGTGCGACTGACATCTCTTGGTTACTCTTGCTGAGCTGGGAGGGGAGAGCCCGCGGCCTCCTGCCGCGGCCGGGCAGGGGA